AAGGCCTCTCCCCCATGCCGTTGTCCGTCAGTCGTGGGCGAGGGGGGGGGGTGTTGCCTGTCCATACTTCACCACTCCCGTCGGTGCACGTTGGTAAAGGCCGGCAGCGCTGACGCATGAGCGTAGAGGTGCAGTACAGCAATTGGTCGCGCTGCGCTGCCCTCTGCCACCCATCGTGTTGACCCTCGGAAGCCTATAGCACCTGCAATGGACGGCGAGTGACCAGTTCAAGCGCCATCCAGGCGCAAACCTGCTGAGCTTCCGAGATCTATCCAAGTCTCACCTCTTCTCCATCGCCCATCCTCTTCCCCCCTCCCTCCGCGCCCCTCCACTCCTTCCCGTCCCTTCCCCAAAGCTTTCGCGAAGGGCTTGGGGAAGGGCAGGTGGGAGGCATAATATGACTTTGAAACCCCCCGCTCACCTACTACGCATTTCACAAGTAGTACTAATCACATTCCTGCATTTCCCATAAATATGCTAAATTCCTATTGATATGCAAATTATTTTGTCAAGGCGCCCTTCCCCCCTTCCAACCCAGCTTAAATATACGCTCCAAGCGTGGTGGTGTTTCATTCAGACGCTGCCTCCCCTACAGACCTGGTCTTCACCTGAGGACGGCTGCTTGCGTTGTGGCCGAAACGTCGTGAGAATTATTTTATTATGTTTTATTTTTATTATTTTATTATTTCCCTTCTACGTGACTTTGCCGAAAGAACCAAGAAGAAAGCAGCCGGTGTGAGCTCGCCCGCTCACACCTGCACTCTGCAAGTCGCTACGCGGAGTCAGGCGTCACCCTGCAAGTCGCTACGTGGAGCCAGGCGCGAAACGCCGAGAGGGTTTCTCGGCTCGCCCGTCGCCCCCACTGATGTCCTGCACTCCCCCTACTCCCACTAATTTGTGCAGATACTACTGACCATTGTATGTAGGTCGTGTAGGCACATATACCTATACACTCACTGGGGGGGGGGGGTGATAACATTTTTGGGGGGGTCGACAATTGTTGTAAACTTGTTGGATCAACCTTTTACCCCCACATCTGGGTGGGGGGGGGGGTTCACTTTTTTTAATAACTTGCTGATTCAGGCCTTCTGAAAGACTTTTCGAATAGAAGATAGATGCATCACAGATGACAGGTGAATGCAAAATGGTGATCGGGGATTGGCCCACAGAGCCCCACGTGCACGGCAGAGAAAGGGGCACGGCTTCCCACGTGAGATTTGAGGCATTTAGCTGCGGCGTTGTGACGTGGGGGACGAGGGTCTCTCTCATCGCTGTCGCAAGATTCGCCACTCGCCCTTCTGAAGGTGAGTTTTGGAATAAAAAGTTTTGCCGTTTCACAAACCTCCCAGCCCCTTCCCAGCCACCCCCCTGTTGCTCAGCTGTTGTGGAGTCGCTCCACAGAACACAGAGCCGAGTCTCCAAACTGCATACCGGTCAACCCCTTATCAGTGCTGCCTACCTTATTACAGACCAGTTCAAACCGTATTGGTCACCCCGTGCCCCTTATCAATCTCAACGTTCATCCTACAAAGTCCCATCACAAGGGAGAAATACAAATAGACAATACAATTTGCTGCCCGTATTGAAACGGCCGTACGCCGTATGGACCTGAAAACTCAATTTCCCTGTGCAATAATACGGGTAAACCGTATGGGTTGACATCTACGCTATATATAGCTATCTCTATGGCTATATGTATCTCTGTGGGTCTCTATGAATCTCTATGGGTCTCTGTCTATAATAATACCTGTCAACCCCTTATCAGTGCCCTACCTTGTTACAGACCAATTCAGAGCTTATTGGTCACCCCGTGCCCCTTATCAATCTCAACGTTCATCCTACAGTCCCATCACAAGAGAGAAACACAAACAAATAGACAAACACATTTTTTAAAATTCCGTATGGACCGGAAAACTCAATTTCCATGTACAAGAATACTGGGTAAACCGCATGGGTTGACAGCTATGGAACTTGATTATATATTTTTTTATCTTTGTTGTTGTTGCCGTCTTATTTAGCCGACCTGGATTCACCACGGGAGGAGGAGAGGAGACAGAGAGGGGACTTGGCTGCAAGAGCGTGGGGTACAAAACCACTCACCGTTCGTCGACCGGCGGCGGGTCACGTGTGGGGTGGGGTCACGTGGGGGGGGGGGGTACCCCCAGCTCTTCCCACATGTCTGGGTGCGTCCATAAATGACGTCACGCACCTGGGGGGGGGGTCAGACATTTGTGACGATGTGTGACGAGGGGGGGGGGGGTGAGAAATAGTGACGTCACGTAAAATGCGCAACTTTAAATAAATATAGACAACACGTTCTACTTAATTAAATATATTTTTAATAAATGTTTTCTCCTACAACATCAGAGTGCAGCGCCACATTAAATACGCACTACAATGACAATAGTTTAAAGCGATTTGAAGCATGTTTTATTTTTGGGGGGGGGGGGCAGAGCTTTGTGACGTCATATTTGAGGGGGGGGGGTCTGACTTTTTGTGACGTCGTGTGACGAAAGGGGGGGGGGGGTCAAAAATCGTCCAAAATCGCGTGACGTCATTTATGGACGGCCCCTTAGTGGAGTCCGTTCCGCCAAGCAGTGGGAGTGGATCGAAGCGCTTTCAGGGCTGCGCCTTTAACTTTGAACAGGGCAAAGAGAGGGAGCAGCTCTCACCTTGACTTCGGAAGCAATGTGTGTGTGTCCTTCAGGTTGACAGGCCCTTGCTGATGCTGCTGCTGCTGCTGCTGTACCAACGCAACAGCTGATTTACCACCAGTGCCCCTTGCGTACGCCTGTAAAGAAATTGGACTGATTATAAAACATACTTCAGTGTGATTTATACACCGTATATTAGAACAATGAAAGAACAAACTCACACACTCCGCATATAAATCTTGGCAGGACAGCCACAGCATCAATACGTACACCCGACATTAATCACAGCAACGTGTACGCTAATGCGTGCGTGTCTTCTCACACCTCCAAAGACAAAGATCCCCCGTATAGCCTTCGACCGGCTCTTGGGGCAAGTGCTTTTCGGAGGCCCTTATGAAGGCCAGGCCGGCCCACGAGGGGCTGGTGTGGCAAGTCGTTGGCACGGCCGCCTTTATCTCCCCCAGTAATGATGTTTACACACCGCGGGAGATACTCATTTAAGGCTGAGTCGACCTAGGCGACGCCCGGATATACGCAGCATTACAACGAAGTGGAATGGAGCGCGTCTGAGAGCGCATCGGAAGGAGACGGAGCGATCCAGCAGTGGATTGACCATGGGTGACGATTCGACGATGATATCGGATTACTGATAATAAAAATCTGGAGAATCGTGACAAGTGGTGGCAACGCTGTATTTTCGATTTTCCACGTGACCTCGTTGTCTTTGTACTAATTTATATTTGCATCATTGCTGTAAAGTACAGTGCTTAGGACGCCACGGTGGCTATGAGATGTTAGCTACCTCGCCTGGTACACAGGAGGTCGTGGGTTCGATTTCGACCCTCACGCCTGCTATATAATTGGAGTTTGCGTGTCTCTCTCTCTCTCTGCACATCATCACGGTGGCTAGGAGATGTTAACTACCTCGCCTGGTCTACAGGAGGTCGTGGGTTCGATCCCGACCCTGACGCCTGCTGTATAATTGGAGTTTGCGTCTCTCTTTCTCTCTGATCATCATCACGGTGGCTATGAGATGTTAACTCCCTCGCCTGGTACACAGGAGGTCGTAGAATTCGATCTCGACCCTGACGCCTGCTGTTGTATATTTGGAGTTTGCGTGTTTTTCTCTCTCTTATCATCATCACGGTGGCTAGGAGATGTTAACTCCCTCGCCTGGTACACATGAGGTCGTAGAATTCGATCTCGACCCTGACGCCTGCTGCTGTATATTTGGAGTTTGCGTGTTTTTCTCTCTCTTATCATCATCACGGTGGCTAGGAGATGTTAACTACCTCTTCCTGGTGTACAGGAGGTCGTGGGTTCGATCCCGACCCTGACGCCTGCTGTATAATTGGAGTTTGCGTGTCTCTCTCTCTCTGATCATCATCACGGTGGCTATGAGATGTTAACTCCCTTGCCTGATACACAGGAGGTCGTGGGTTCGATCCCGACCCTGCCGCCTGCTGCGTATATTTGGAGTTTGCGATCTCTCTCTCTTATCATTATCACGGTGGCTAGGAGATGTTAACTACCTCGCCTGGTATACAGGAGGTCGTGGGTTCGATCCCGACGCCCACTGCTGTATATTTGGAGTTTGCGTGTCTCTCTCCCCGTGGTCGTGTGAATTTTTCTCCGGGTCCTCCGGTTTTCCCCCTCCACATTTAGAATCAACATCACCCCGCGTTTAAAGTATTCGGCTGCTACTAAAATTTTCCACGTGATAAGCCTCTTCGTTGGGCTATCACTTGTGGCCAGGTCGCTTCTGAAAAAGAGTTGTATCGCTTCGCCTTACCTGGTAAAATAAAAATAAATAGTTTAGTTTTAGTTTACTTCAGCTCATTTGCGTAATTAAAAAAAAATTGTATTCGCACAAGTGAAAAACAAACAGTGCAAATAAAAAAACGAGGTCAAAAGGTGTGCAGGTGATCTTGGAAACCCAAGAGGGCTTTATATTGAAAACAACACCGAAAACAAGGGCAATGTATGTACAATTGTTCAATCAATTAAGCAACGCATACTACTAATTGCAATTAAACATGTTAAACATTGTGTTTGTCATTTGACTGATGCAGCTCTCTCACAAATGCGACTCACCTGCTTCAACAAAATCAACTTCAAACTAACGAATTACTGATAATGATCTCCATCACTCACACCATCATCATCACCGCAATCCAGTGAGGTGAGGGGGGTGGTACAATGACATCCAGATACGCCCACTTCCAGCAGTGGGCGGAGCTGGTGAGGAGGGAATCGACCAATGGGAAGCCGGAATGAGGCTCTTTAAATGCTGTGTGTGGGGGGGGGGGGACATCCCTCACTGAGCCTCACTGCGTACGTGGGCGATTCCTCGGAGCAGTCAGCCCAGGCAGGAGTCAGTCCGTGTGATGTGTTTCTAACCGAGTAGGAGGTTGTTGGTGGTGTTGATGATGATGATGCTGCTGCTGCGTTCTCAGCCCGTAGATCGTACGGGGCGATGATGATGATGATGCAGAAGGCTTGGTGGGCCAGCCATCTCTATTCACTCATTTTCATTGTATGCGTTGTTGTTGTTGTTGTTGCTGCTGCTGATGCTATTATTGCTGCTACTGAGAGTGGAGTTGACATCGTATGCAGCAGCAGCAGTATACATTACGAGCGTTTGATGTTTTAAGCAGGCAGGCCAAACAGGCGTTCTGGTCTGGTCGCGTTTAGTCAAACAGTGGTTGGTTGGTGGTGGTGCTGATGGTGGTGGTTGTTGTTGTAACGATGACTTCGCTGTAATTGCTAACGCTGAGAGATGGTGACATAATTGCCCGCACGGCGGCATTCGTCCACGAGCAAATATATATACGGCGTAGAAAAAAAACCCATCAGCTCTATATATGCAGCACTGTGGTACAGCAGCAACAAGAAAACACCACGGCCGTTAGCGAAAGCTTGCGTCGCTTAATGTTTTAGATTTTTTATTTTCAATCACCAAAAGAGAGGAAGAAAGCAAGCAAGCAAGCAGGGAGAGGAAGTCAAAGTGGATCGCCGATGTCGTATTCGCCCAGCTGAGTGTTGGTGCTGCTGCTGCTGCTACGTGAACGAGCGCCCACCTCGTTCCGCCGAACTCCCAGCTCGGCTACACGGGAGATGCGTTCCAGCGTCATCACGACCACACCACCACCACTGGCTTGACATACGTGACCCGCGACGCGCCAACGCAGAGTGGAATTCATCGGCAGCAGCAGCAGCAACAGCAGCGCCGTCCGTTTGCCGCAGTGAGACGATCGCGCCCGGATGGTGCAATCGCTTCTTCCTCCGCGCTCACATCGTCCTGACTCTCGCCCTCTCTCATGTGCGCTCGCTTCTCTCAATTCTAGCGCACCTCCAATTCTCTGGCTGTTGCGGTGTTGCCGTTCTTTCCATCTCTCTCGCTCGCTCGCTCTCCACATCCATCCCACAGCTCGGACTCTCACATTTCTCGCTCGCCGGCTCGTTCTACCGGCTCTTCTCCAACGCTCCGCTCACCACCAGCTCGCTCGCTCACTCTGTCTCTCTCTCTCGGCTGCTTGTTTATATTCTCGCTCGCCAGCGCTCCTCTCTGTAATTATCGCGATCCGGATACCTATCACTCTCCAGTTCTCTCGCTCTTATCATTCAAGTTGATATTTCTCGACTCGCACCACGCACGCACGCACGATTCATCCCGGAGGAAGGCCGTTCCGGAAGAACCCAGCATCATTCAATAGCGGTCACATTACTAACATCATTATTATTATTAAGCCATCGGCAGCAGAAGAAATTATCTCGGCGATCGCAACAGCAAAACCGAGGCCGTTGTTTGAGAGACGAGAGGAGAGAAAAGGAGTTCCCAACGAAGAAGTGCAATTGAAGAGGCGACGGCGACGACGGTGATGTGTGGCTGCGCCCAGTGAAGGAGCGTCACGCGCGTGGGATGCTATTGCCATCGTCTCGAGATCTTCCTACAAGCCCGGCCCACCGTCTCGACAGCTAAAAAGGTACTCCGCTCTTTTTAAATCCTTTATATTAAGTTCACTTGCTTGCTTGCTTGCGCGCTTACGACCGTGCAAATCTTTCGGTCGTTTTTAACCCACTTCCCGTGATCCAATCGAGCTGACATTTTGCACACAGACTCGTTGTGCGTGACAATTTATTTTCGTGAAAGCATTTTTCCAAAATTTTACACTTTTTAGGTAAAAAAATATATATTTAATTACCAATTGCTTAATGGTGGCAGGCAATCATCTGACCCATAGGTGGCAGCCATCTCAAGCCAGAGGACGAGATGACTCTAGCCGCCCGTTTCAAAGACCAATGTGGGCTGGGTTGTGGCCCATTGAACACGCATATAAAGGATTTATAGTGAAAAACTTTGTTTTTACGGGTTAATTTTTTGTATTTGCACCCCCCTTTTGTCAATCCACTGCCCGATGAGCCTTGGAAACCGTGCCCGTAAGTGGCCTTGATTGACCATACTTCACTACGCTGGTCTGTGCGAGTTGGTTAAGTTGGTGGTGGTGGGATTCACAAGGATTGGTCCAAGATATTCATCCACCGTATTGGGCCGAAAACCTCCCCACGCACTATGCTGGTTCAGGAAGTTATCTCTGACCCTACTTCACCACGCTGGTCACAGTGTGGGTTGGTGAAGGCTGGCAGGTTCCAGGAAGACGGAACCATTAGCCGTGTCTTTTAGCCGTGGCCGAAGAATCGAACTCCGTTCAAGGGGGGAGTGTTCAGCAGCTATCCCCTCCACTGGCCGCTTCACGTTAAATATCGACTCAAAGTGTACCTAGCCTGGCACGAGCGCTCTGGTAACGTCACCGTCACTTTAAAAGTGACGTGGGGTGAGTCGCTACGCTGCTACTGCTGGTGTTGTTATCGCGCTGTGCGACTCTCTCGACACGTCTCGGAAGCTAAGCAGGTGCCGAGCCTGGCTAGAGCTCGGATGGGCGAGTGCTGGTGTGGACAGCGGTTGTCGCAGACGGCGGCCGCAGCAAACCCATTGTTGCACTCTACTCCTATGCTCCCACGTCTTTCATCTATCCCGCATTGACCAGCGTGATGAAGTATGATCAAAGAAATACCACCTGACCACCGCGACCAGCACGGCGTGGGTAGGGGAGGGGGGCGACCAGCACGGCGTGGGTAGGGGAGGGGGGCGACACTCATCCAGCAGTGGATTGACCACAACGGGGGGCCTGTGTGCTTAGTGTGTGTGTGTGAGATCGCTCACAGCTCTTGCCCCAACAGTATGTTAAGGCTACACAGAGGGGGATCTTTGTCTTTGTGATGTACAACGTCGTGTGACCGGGGCCGGCTTCGAGCTGGTATGGCGCCTGGACGTGTACGGGTTTTTAATGTACTGTCGTGTACTGTCACGAACAGGTTCTAGACTGCATGCTGCCGAGTGGTGCCGAGGACGCGCTGATTCGCTACGCAAGTACAATTGTAATGCGTGGAGCGGTGGCGCAGCGGTTAGCGCAACTGCGATGTCCTAAAAGGGCGGCGAGCCGAGTTCGATTTTCGGTCGCGGCAGGCGTCGGTGACGAATGATAATATCCGGACCAATTTCCTGGGTTCCCTCACCCCGCATTACACGACCCGTATCGACCAGCGTGGTGAAGTATGGTCAAACAACCCCCGATGACTGACTCGAGAGACCGTCATTTCGCAGTAGATTGAGTGAGTTAGGGATGCTAATCATGATTTTAGTCATTCACACACAGTACCATAGGCGTAGCTGATTGATATTATCAGCTATACGTTGTATATAACCACGTGTGAATTAGAACGTGTGTGACAACTGTGTTGGTGATGGGGATCGATGCTTGGCACATACTTGACCACGCTGGTCACTGTGGTCTTGTGAATGAGAGGTTCGAGGACTGGCTGAGGATGATGTTAGCCGTGGCTAGGAATCTAACTCGGGTCGTCGGGTTCATAGCGCAGTGCGCTAACCACTGCGCCATGGCTCCACGCGGTGTGCAATTGCATTCGTTGCCGCAGTGATGAAATAATTAATTCATGATAAATACGGAATATTTTGTCAATCAAAACAGTCGTTTTAAAAATACCGTTATTGTATTGACCACGAAGAGAGCTGTTCGCTATCGGGACCAAGCAAACACAATGATGTCATCTGCAGCATGCATATGCACTGTTTCCACTGCACACAGAGCCGAGCTGCCAGACCCCGCATCCGCGAACGAGATCACATTTCCCCCAGTGCCCCGATCAGTCCCCATCAAATCCCGGATCAATTCCAAGATCTCACTCGCCGTTTACCAAGACTCGTCCTACATTCCCCCTCTCATCTCGCTATCCTACCCCTCGCCTCTCATCCCCTCCACGCACTCTCCTAACTCTCCCCTCTAAACTCACTCTACTCCACTCCACGCAATCACCTACCTCTCCCCTCTCATCTCAATCCACTCCCCTCCACGCACTCTCCTACCTCTCCCCTCTCATCTCACTCTACTCCCCTCCACGCACTCTCCTACCTCTCCCCTCTCATCTCACTCTACTCCCCTCCACGCACTCTCCTACCTCTCCCCTCTCATCTCACGCTACTCCCATCCACGCACTATCTTACCTCTCCCCTCTCACCTCACTCTACTCCCCTCCACGCACTCTCCTACCTCTCCCCTCTCACCTCACTCTACTCCCCTCCACACACTCTCCTACCTCTCATCTCAATCTACTCCCATCCACGCACTCTCCTACCTCTCCTCTCTCATCTCGCTCTCCTACCTCTCCCCTCTCATCTCACTCTACTCCCATCCACGCACTATTTTACCTCTTCCCTATCATACCATTCTACTCCCCTCCACGCAAACTCCTACCTCTCTCATCTCAATCTACTCCACTCCACGCACTCTACTGCTTTTCCACTATCATCTCACTCTACTCCCATCCACGCACTATCTTACCTCTCCCCTCTCATCCCATTCTACTCCCCTCCACGCACTCTCCTACTTCTCCCCTCTCATCTCACTCTGCTCCACTCAACGCTTTCTCCTACTTCTTCCCTCTCATCTCAATCCACTCCCCTCCACGCAATCTCCTAGTTCTCCACTCTCATCTCAATCCACTCCCCTCCACGCACTCTCCCCTCCAGCGATAGAGGCTTTCTGTCGAACCCCCTGTCAACCTAATCTAGATTTGAAGTTTTCGTGACTACTCTGTGGGAGGTCCCTCCTCATTCTGGAACTCCTCCCCTCCTGCCCTCCGTGCTGTTGATTCCCTGCCCCTGAATGAGTTTAGACTGATAACCGTAGACTCTTCCTCTGCTTAAATCACACAGAATTTGCCCTAATGTCAAATTTAGCGAGCTGAGTAGTTTAGGGTCTGGATGGTGCTTGTAGAATGGCTGACTATCGGGGTTGCATGGGTGGGTAACAGAAGGCATTGGCGCAAACTCCATTGCTGTATTGTACTTCTATGCTCCCCGCCTTCATCAAACCACACTGACCAGCGTGGTGAAGTATGGTCAAATGGCCTCCAAGATCTGCGCTGCATTGTGAGGCCCTCTTCCAGCCGTGGACTGTGCGTGCTATTGCCAGTTTACGCCGTCACATATTGGGACTTGCAAGTTCATGATCTCTGATTATCTCCAATGATGCAGTTGTTTTAAAAAATTGTAATAGTTGACATCAAGGCCGTAATTATAATATATATTGGGACGGACACATCCCCCCCAATATTCAAATATGCTCAAATGCCCCCCCTGCCCAATATATTGCGATAAAAATAATAATTGCTATGTAAATAAAAACAACAATTTGCTAAACCTTGGCCACAATAGCTGGACTTGTCTTCATATAAATCAATGCATAGATTTGTGTTTATATGATTGTGGTTATGGTAGTACTTTACGAATCCCTGATCTCTGCATTACATACAATGAATCAAGAAATATAAAAATAGTAAAAACAGAGCAATGTAATACAATACACTATTAGACATTATTGTAAAAAATAAATAAAGTCCATCCCATGTGTTAGTGAATTTTTAAAATATTTTGGGCAGGAAATTAGTTTCCAAATTCAGATATTTTTCTGGGTTGGGACCCCCAGAGACACCCTGGGAGATTTGGTCCCCCCCAATGTTGACTCAATAGCTACGGCCTTGGTTGACATGTTACCAGTTCCCAGAACTCGTCCCTTCAAATTGACATTCTCCCCCCCCCCATTCCCCTAGTTCTGGCCATTGACCTTGCAGGTTATATTTGTGTGGTGCGCATTGCAGGATGTCGCGGACGTAGTGCCCCTTACGAATGTGCACGCTACATTATTATGGGGTATACTGGACGTGGTGTGTGCCGGTGCGCGGAAATTGATTCCGGGTCACGGGCCCAAACAGAGCCGGCTGACATTAGGCCCCGGCAAATAGGGGCCCGTTGCTGTTGCTCGTGAAGGTGCCGAGTTTATGATTTTTTTGAAAGAAGAAAAAAATAAAAGTTTGTTGGCCTCGCCGTCTCAAAAAGCCTAGAAAATGTATTTCTTTAAAAAACGGACATTGCACAGCCTTACAGAGTGCCGGACGACTCCGCCGCGTAGATGGGTGGGTTGCTTCATCGTGCGATTGCTGAGGGATGGGGGGAGGCCTCAGTCCAGCAGTGGATCGACCATGGACAATCGTGGCAATTCTGACTACAACTTGCAGAAACCACTACGCGGGCACAGCACGCGTGTACCACGTGGTGCAGAGCGAGCGGTGAGCTCGGCGACCCGAGTCGGATTCCCGCTCGCGACCCCAAAAACAGTGGCGAATATTTGAACAGGTCTTGGGCCTCCACCGAGGTCGACTCGGCCTCAAATGATGAGGACCTGGTGCGGTGTCGTGAACATCAGCCACCGGGAAGACGAGGGCGGTCTGGCGTGGTGCGGGCCACCCACCCCCTCGTGTGCCGTTCGGGCCTTCATCGGCGCTACTCCGATCACGGCACTTTTCTCCAACAGGAGTCTGTGGATGGCTCCATCTCTGTCTTTGCTAT